TGCCTCTGCCACCCACTCTGTGTCTCTCTTTCGCATCCTGGCCGCCTAAAAGCATGCAACAGCAATTTAAATTTTGTGCGCATTTCAATTTGCAAAATGGCGAAAAAAGCAGCACGCTAAACAACAAAAATGCAGCTCGGCAATTAAAAGCGTGTGCGGTAAGCAGGGGGTGGGGTGGGGGTGCGGAATAGAATAAGGACGAAAGAGGAGCAGGAGAACAAACTTACAGATGCACTGAAAAAAGTGGCCAGTATCTGTCCCTATGAGGTATTAGATGGAAGCTTTTAATGACTCCTCTAAGATGATCCTTCTATCTAGATTCTAGAATTCTAAGCTATTCCTATAGATATCCTTTCTTAGTATCTATAGCTTCTAGGTTTTTTTTTTAAAAGTATCCTTGTATCCTGGGGTATTGACCAATTGGAAGGGATCCCTGTGTTGATTGAAACATTTCGCCAGCGCGTGGCATTTAAACTTTAACACAATGTCCCGAGCCGGAGGGAAGTCGAAACCGAAAACGAGCAGCACAACCAGAACGAGAACCAGAACGAGAACAAGGACTCGAACAAAAAGGACTGGGGGATCCTTCAGATACACAGATATAAATTGGACTGCAGAGGGGCCGCAGCCGGGTGAAGGCGGACCGCTTAGGAAACTGGACAGCGGGCACAGCACGCACATTAAAAGTTCAAATGGCACAAAAATAAAAATCCGCTTACAGCATTCCGAGGGCCAGAAGACAAAGGGCGCCAGGACTGCAGCATGGCTCTCGAACAGGACTGTGGCAGTTAAAAGTGGAAAATGGCAGTGCGGCCAGAAAAATAATGCGACCCCCACGCGAAAGGCTATTATAGTGGCAGGACATTTCGCGGGGCTTGAGGGCTTGAGGGCTGAGGGCTTCAGGGCTGGGGCAATAGCTTCATATATAAGGAGTATACATCCTCTTATGTATGTTCTCGCACTGATCGATGGCTCCACCGAAGTGCAATTGCTTTTCTGGGGGCCATTTTCGAGTGCATTTTGAAAGTTAGAGAACCTTTTCTCTCATACTCTCTGGCTGGTACTTCCGTCTTGAAAAAGTTTATACAAAAAACTAAAGTCCTTGTGTTGCTCTCCCCTCCCCTTGGCTGCGAGCTCCTGCCACTAATTAATGAAAATCCCTGCTTCGGGCCAGCCATCCTTGTCGGTGGGCCCATGTGCCACGCCCTCATGTGTTGCGCAAGTTGACTTTGGGCACATTTTGCATTGATTGGCTCTCGAGTCCTGTCCCCATTGTTTGGACTAGGCCTTTGTGTTGTCTCGTTGAAGTACACTGAGAAAATTGTTAGCATTCTAGGTTTGATTAGAAAGGTGATGAAGGGGCATGTGAGACCAAAATCTCACATCAATTGCAGTGACGAAGGAGGCTCTGATAGTTACTCAAATCTCACAGAAATCTTTTTTTTCTGCGTGGATCTCCACCCCTCCGGGGAGGCTGACAAGTGTGGGATCAGAGATAACTGCCAAGCCACCTCCCACAGCCACCCATTGTTGTCATTATTTTTATTTTCTCAGCCTTTGTTGGCCCTTTAGCAAGTAATTAGTTTGGCCCAGCACTTCCTGTCTCCCGACCGCTTAGGACGAAGGTCAGCCTGGCCCCGGGGAATGGCCCCCCCCTCCCCAACACTATACATACTGGCGGAAAGAGTATGATTTGGAAATCTAGAATACAATCTGGGGAGTATCCAAATATTGCCGGAAAAAGCCAAACACTCTGTGGGGCTCAAAAGTGGAAACAAGATTGGAAAACCGTCTAGGTCTTTACGACCCCAAAGGTGGACCACTAAAAACGGTTAACAAATTGTCATGGCAGCAGCCGGGCTCCCCGCAGCTTAGCAGCTGATTAGGTGGGCTTCAGGAATCAGCAGGACTCGAGCAGGAGCAGGACGACAGGTGCAGGCGGCAGTCAGGCGGCACATTAAAGGCGTAACTCGAGAGGGGATTTTGGGGGCTCGCAGCTGTTACTCCGGGACACATTCGAGGCTCAGCTGGAAGGGCTGATGGGCCAGAGTTGAGGGTTGGTGGACTTAGTCCTCTCCTTCTGCAAGGACATTGCCATTGTGCCTGCTCCTTATCGAAATCCAGTGCTGTCACTTGTCGGGCACTTCACGGCAGCCAGTGATCTCCCTCGAGTGTGTTGAACATACGCTTCTTATGTATCCTGCTGTCCTGCCGTTCTGCTGTCCTGTCGCCTCTGCACCCCTCGGACCTCGAACCTGGCCTGTCTGTGTTTGTTTATCCTATGCCTGACCCCTGGTTTGTCCAGGGGCTTTCCGGGGCGGTTCACGGGGCTTATACAACCACTCAGTGACACAAATAAAAGTAAACATGATAAAACCATTGAAACTTTTTCCATTTTCACTTTTGAGTGTGTTTGTATTTTGCTTCACTTTGCTTTTGTGTCCGGGGTTCGAGTGAGTCCGTTGCCGAGTCCTTCTGCATCCTTTTATTCTTTCACCTCCATCCTCACCAGCAACCCAGCCCTCACTTCATCCGGCGCAAAGCTATCCGTGGAGCTCTGGCTGCCGCTGCAGCTGCACTCGAAAATAAATAAGCCTGTGGAGTATAGATTCCACATTTTAGATTTCCAGGACATGCCAGGGACTTGGAGAGAAGGATCCATAGAATGGGAGTAACTGTCTGGAATGCCTAGCCGTCCCAGAGATGCAATACTTGCATCCGTTTTTCCGAGTGCACTGGCGAGTTAATCTCAAGTGCAGCCAAGAGCTAAATATTTACCATTGGCGTTGACTCTGAGCCTCAAACGCACACAAACTGGAACACCACGAGCCACCCACCTGAACCACCTTCCCTACCAGTCCTCTGCATCCCCCGTGTCCTTGCCTTTGTATAGAGAATCCTCGCTTATCATCGATGGTGGCGAGGTCCGTCCGTCCGAGCATGCATTCAAATGACCCGCACTTTCTCCATCCACTTTCTCCACCCAACTGCCGACCCCCTTTCACCCTCCCCCCTTGTTTACGCTTAACTAACAAGCCAAACTAAAAGTTGGCAAGCTGCAAGCCAGGACTTTCTGCCTTTCTTTTTTCCGCTTTCACTCCGGCTGCCTTGCTTCCTTCCCTTCTTCCCTGCCATTCAGAAGAGCCCAGTTTGTTGTGCATAAATTGTTTATGTTGGACCGACCTCTGGATCGGAATTGTTTTTGGATTTGGATTTGGACTCGGACTCGTAGCCGGGGCTGGAGATGGAGATGGGGGCTTTCGCAGCTTGTCCGCAGAACAAAAGGTAACCCGACAAATATAGTGGATATCGTGTCAGTCGTTGAACTGGTGCGGTGCGCTGTGTGGGTGTTGACCTTTGGCAAACTGCATCCAAAAGTCAATCACGCAGCGATGACCGCAGATTGCCGGCAGCTCTGCCCAGGGAAGAGGAGGAGGAGCTTATGTTCAACAGCTTAGCCGACTCGTTCAATTTCAAGCTGGAAACTAGTTGCGGAGCGAAACAAAGGAGTGGACACGGACAGTGGAGGTTCATCAAATCGTGACATGATCTGGATGAATCCCATGCTTAGTCGGAGGTGATGCTCTCCTTCATAGACAGAAAGATAATACCTTTGAGTCGTTGAGCAGTCAAGTCTGAGCTGGGGAGGAATTGTTCTCAGTGTAGCACTGCCTCATGCATATGCCATGTATGATCTCTCGGCAAGCCACCAACTGGCGAATATTTAAGCGACAGGCTTCAATATTTCAGCGCCGCTCAACCTTGACAGCATTATGAAGTGGGTGGGTGGGTGGTTGGCCGGGAGGGGCTGTGGACGACAGTTGTGGCGTGCCAGGTGGGTGGCCCGGTGGGCTTCTGGTGTGTGCAATGTGAGACGCTTGGCTGGAGCACTGCAACGGATGCTGGATGTTGGATGCTCGGATGCTAGAGTCAACCGAGGCGTGTAACCAAGGCAATGAATGCGTCCCCCTGGCAGAGACCTCTCGCCCTGGCCCAGCCCCAGCCCCCGAGGCGTGTGGGGAGCCTGTCAAATGTCTCATGAAGATTTAACTCACTTGCCGGTCCAATGAGGCGCCTCATTATGAGCCGGATGCGGATTCGGAGCATCCGGAGGGCAGGGCGAGTGGGGATTTGGTTTTGGGGACCACCACACTCCCCACTCCGCTCTCGAAAACTCACATGTAACGATCCTTTAATTAAGCCATGACACGAAAATGAAACATTTTTGTGTTAAACACGAGTTCAATGAGATGGCGGATTCCTTTCTGTTTCTCATATGCTTCCTCCTCCCTACTGCCTCCTCCCCGGGCGGGGGTCAGAAGTCAATGCTCTGCACTGGCCGGCATTCAATCAGGGGTTAAGCTGGGGATGTGATGGGTTAACACTCCGCTGCGAGGAGTGTGCAACTGTAGAGTTGCAAGTTGCACACTCGCAGCTCGACAATCATTTACGGAGAAGCTTTTGCCTTTCGCTTTTCGCACATCCCGCAATTAATTTCCGTTTGATTGTTTGTCTCTGTCTCTTTCTCTTTCTCTGTCTCTGCCTTTGTCCCTGTCTGTGTTTCCTGCCACACCCTCCTGCCCCATGCCACTATAGCTTTCTAGTTCCCGCCTCATCCCCGACAGCCAGTTGCGATTTAATTGCTTTGGGGCTTCTGTTGCTGCAACCCGGATCCCCCCCGTTCTGCCACCTGCACTTCCCGCCATAAATAAGAGCTAAGCAGGGAGCAGGGAACCAGGGGGGGAGCTGCAATCGGGAGGAAGAAGCTGCCATGTCAACAACTTTTGCCGTGCAACTTTTATTTGTTCGGTTCATTTGTTCCAGGCGAGAAAACAAAGGAGTCCGCACACGTGGAGGGCGTGGAGGGTGTAAGGATAATGCAGCATTTGAATGGGCAAGGATGCATGTCTGTTTTAAAGACAGGCTCCTGCGGTCAACTATCGCACTAGCTATCACCACTGACTAGGCATCTAGTAGCCTGGATTATGAGTGACATTCCAGAGTTTGGCAGACACAAACGTACACAAACACAATTCATACACAGATACACTTGGTTGGACAAAAAAAAAAAATATAAAACACAAAAAAAATATCAACCAGACGATTTTTGGCAAGTAGTGGTGCCAACAAACAGGTCATAGGTGACAACACGAGTTCGCCCAGTTTAGAGTGTGCGTTGATCGTGTGAGCTGCCGGCATTCAGTACTCACTCCACCAAACGGACGAGAGAGTACGAGTGTTAAGGATCCCGCTGGTACTAAAAGCGGAATAGGTAGCTGTGAGGGAACCCAAGGAGACCCCCAAGGAGCTTAGCACCTAGTGACCTTCAGGATACCCATCCATCTCTGCTAGTGTCATCGTCAGGTGAGTAATGCGCGAAGAACTCTTCGATCATGAAGAGGATATCGATTAAGCTGCTTCCGTTCGCAGAATGGTCATCAACCTGAACCCGAGCACCTCCACGAACGCCAATGGCACCGTCCACGGAAGCGGAAACGGAAGCGTTACCGGCAATGGCAGTGGCGACGGGGCTGGCTCCGCCAGCGGCAATAACGCGGTAAATGCCAACGGAGCCGGAAACGGATTTGGAATAGTGGCACATCCAAACGGAAACGGTTTCCAAATCACTGCCAACCTACACGGAAGCGGAAACGGCAGTGCCATCGCCGACGATGACGAGAACCCGAACGATTTCGGCATCGAAATCGGCATGGACCTCGACATCGATATCGGCAATCTGGCGGGGAACGGAAGTGGACAGGGGTTCGGATTTGGAACCGGAGGCGCCAGCGGAATCGGCCACGTGAACGGGAATGGAAACGGAGACGGTGGCAGCTCCAGCAACCTGATGGGCATCATCAGCCACGCGGTGTTCGACGGGATCGTCTATATGCACGTGGTCTGCGCCGGGGAGTCGAGCGCCAAGTGGATCACTCTGGACGAGGCCATGGCCTACTGTCCCTCCGGCGTGGTTGCCTACACGAAGCTGCAGCTGGCCCAGATCTACGGTGTGCCGATGGAAGCGCTCTTTTAAGAAGCGTCTCCTCCCCCACACCGCCCACTCCCGAGAAGAAGATGGCTATCATTGTTTTGACTTTGTGGCTGTCGCAGTCGCCGGAGGCAACGAGACACGTCACATCCCACCACACACCACTGATCTGACTTCGCAGCTTCCCGAGCATTCACTTCCTTCACTCGAAACCCAAAATTCAAGTTAGTATGTTTTCAAGTTCATCCAAACCAAGGAAAAAAAAAAAAAAAAAAAAGTACGACCTGTCATCGAAAGGATTTTCAGGAGAAAGTGTTTATGTTTGCTTCGATCACAACCGGTTGAAGTTTTTATTGTCTGGAGGATGTCAGTTTAGGAGTACGATTCCCTAGAGGATCGTTCCAACCACACTTCTGTAAACATGTATTAGCTCTCCATATTCAACATAAATCCGGAATGAAGTTTGTCTGAATTACTTGTCTTATTGGCTCTGTTTTTTTAATTCTTGAAGACCGGGGAGAAATCTTGGCAATCCCGGCGGGAGTTTCGGCGACCTGTGGCCGGCCATCCCGTGGGGCTCACGTGTTTCCGTGGCATTTGTCAGCAGCGCAACGCACTGCAGAAAGGGGGCACATGGCCGAAGGACGCAGGACGAAGATGAAGATGGATAGGCAGAGGCAAAAGTTTAAGGAGCCTTTGCCACGCAGCCGGGTGGCCACACGGCCTCATGGCCACACGGCGTATGCGTAATGCGGCCAGCCCACAGAATTTGGGCATTTCAATTGCAAATTAGCCAAAAGCCAACGTCAACGGCCACGCCCAGTTCCCCTCTCCCCTCGGCAGTCCTCGGTCCTGAAGTGTCCTTTCCTCCTGCCGGGGTCCTGCCTTCTCTCTTTCTTTTTTCGCCTTTTGTGTGTGCGAGTGTGAGCGGCAATTTGAATGATTTATGTTGATTGCGTATAATTGCATGTTGTGTCCTTGTCCGCCCCTTTTGTCCCCAGGTGCGTTTGCCAGCCACGTGACACATAGCCCCCCTGTGCTTCATGCCCCATGCCCCCATGCTCCATGCTCTTCTGCTGTCGCCTTTCCTGCCACTTTCTGCCTCCGTCCCCCATTCTCCATTCCCCACTGTCGCCAGTTATCTTGTTTTCCGCTTCTAACCTCAGACATTTTGCGGCGCATTGTTACTGGAGGTTGTTGAGGTTGCTGCCGCTTTTATGACGCTCCATCTGTCAGCAGCTTGTTGTGACAACGCCTCTGGGTGGTCCACCAGGGGCGTAGTCAGGGGGGAGGGTGGCACATTCTCACTAATGCTTCCAACTGGAAGAAGAGAACTTCACCCATCGAGTTGAAATTAAGTCTTGGTCCAAGTTCCCCCCCCCGACTGGTAACCCCTTTTCGGCTACGCCCCTGGCTCGCTGCTTATCTAATTACGCGCCCAAAAGCACGCAACACAAAAATGCCAACCAAGTCGACCGACCAAGTTGTCTTTTGCGGCACGACGGTTCATTTTTCTAATGCCACGAAATGCCGGAAAAGCAAGGCTGGGCGCCGGGCGCCGGGCAGGATCCGTATGGCGGAGCGGAGCTGACTTTTGGCCAAATGGCCAAATTGTAAACAAGCGCAATTTGCAATTTAAGCGCGTCCGCTTTGCGTGTCCTGCTCCTGCTCCTGCTCCAGCTCCAGCTCCCCCTCCTGGGCTGGGCAGCCATTTGCAATTGAATATTTATTCGCCCTGCCAGAGCCGGGTGTGGCGCAACTAAAAAATTATTACGCATACGCAGCGTGGTCAGCAGACGGAAATGGCCGAAACAGAATCAGATAATCAGGGGATCAGGGTCACAGAACACAACACATTCGGTTAATCATGCCCTATGCGCTATAGGATTTCGAAGCGTATTTATAGAAAAAGTAATTATGTTCCTCTGAATTATTAAGTATACGCCGGGGGTGCACTATCGCATAAACTACCACACATTCTTTCAGATTGTCAATTGTGCTTGTTGTGCTCTGGCAGTAGACCTGCCCCACCGCCGAGCCACCGTTGCCACCGTGGTGGCAAATGCAAAAGGCAAGCTAATAAAATGTACTTTATGCTCGAACGTGAGTTGACTCCAAAAGGCAACCGAGCCGGGCTGGAGGGCGGGCGGAGAAATGGCCAGAAAAAGGGGGAAAAAAGGCCAAAGGACCAAGGCCCCCTCCTTTGTTTTCCCGGCATCACGCGGCTGCCTAATTATAATTTTGCATTCTGCTGCCGCATGCAAAATTCATGAATGGCAGAAAATGCGTGGGGTTGCGGGGGTTGCGGGGGCTGCATGCCCCCCGGATGCTGACATAAAACTTGACAACATCCGGACGCATCACTGGACTTGGCCGAAAGGGTCGGACAGCGGTCAGTTGGGCTTGGTTGATCAGAGCGGGCACATCACCGTTAAGCGTTTTATGGCCAGAATTCGGGACAGGGATGGTGGTTCATGTTTTCGATATATATCGAAAGGATTACCTAGATTTAAGGGAGATAATCGATAGTTTTTTCTGTTATATCTTTGAGGAGTCATTCCAGAAAGTATCTGAAAGTAATTAAAATCTAGGAAGCGATAATAGTTATAATTTTCGATACATATCGATAAGATTATCTACAAACAATCGAAATAATCGGCAGTTTGTTCTTCACTTTCTTGAAAAAAGACCTTAAGCGATTAAGTTCTAGAAAGTGTTTAGTTACTTAAGCTGGAGAAGCATGCTTTATGTCCTGGGGATTAGCCCATCTCTAGAGCAGGAATTTTGGGCTGATTCGCACAACTTCCAGTGCCACATTCACTTCCGTTTTCTGCAAATGTTGCAAATCTTCGCGAAAAACTTGTCGTAAAAATATTTCCATCAGCCAAAATAAAGCCGGAGCCTTGAGAACGAGAACAAGGATGCGGATGCGGATGCGAATGCGGACGAGCAGCAGATTAAGACGAAGATGGAGCTGCTTTTTGGGGGGGCAGTGGCACGGGTATGGCCGGAAGCAGGAAACGGGGGGCGTGGCAAAGGGGGGCAGATAAGCGTAGTATAGCTCGCCAACGTTCGCAATGAAGCAATGAAACTGGCAATAAACAAATGGCACAAACGGCAACGGGATGTGCAAAAAGGCGAGAGCCAAAGAGCCAAAAAAGGACCAAAATGGCGAAAATATAAAACGAGAAACGCACGAAATGAATGGCCGGAGAATGGGGAACCGAAAGTGCAGTTACCCTGGAGGAATAACCGTTAGAAAACTTAATGGAATGCCAGTGGAATATATTATTAAATTAAATTCATTTTAATTTCACATAATCGTCCTCGAGGGTTTCGGTTTCGAGCCAGGATTGTAAAGTGTTTAGGGAACTAAGACGCTTATTGCTCATACGCCGTGTTGGCCGGCGGAGTGTAAATCACCTGCGTGATAAACTTGAATGGAATTTTTTGTTTCCAAACGCATTTCGATATCCTTTGCGAGTCAGTTTGTTGCAGTTTATTGCTTTGATTTTCACCCCCAGACAAGGTAGCAATTTTAAAGCGCAACCAGCAGGGCATTCATTTATTTTTCGGGCCAAGATTCGGGCAAATTACCCGACACCAGAAGGGTTTAGGATGCTTGGCGCGAAATCCGACCGGAAGACGACGTCGCGGCGCCAGGTCTAAGTTTACTGTCCCGTCCCCCTGCCATAGCGACAGTGGCGGCGAATTTATGAAGCATAAGCTGCATAAACATTAAGATTACATAAACGTTGAAGGGAATCCTTTGGCAGGACAACGACACTCGGCAACGACGACGAAGATGAAGAGCTCCCCGGGGAGGTGGCCCACAAAAATAGGGCAGAAGGGTATGGAGGCGAAGGGAGGAGCCAGCTGGCAAACAAGCGACGCTTGCAACATTTTAAGTGTCGATAATTTGATGGCGGGCACTGTTGGCAGTCGGCAGCCGGCAACCGGCAGTCGGTAGTCGGTAGCCAGTAGTCCTGGCAAGCGGGCTTAAAGGCGTGGCCGTGCTTAAGGCTCATGCATATGCATTAACAGCCAGCCATAGTCGAGGCGATAGAGACGGGGACTGCACTCAAACATTTTGCATTGCAACTGGAGGGCATTTGCATTTCTGGTTCCAGGGCAAATTAAATAAATGTAAATTTTAACCCACACTACCGTGTCCACATTTGATGCGGAATGGAAATCGGACTGGGAATGGGAACGAGTGCTCTGGCAATAGGGCCGTTAAAAAGGACACCGGATAAGATATGGGAGGGCTCTACTTCAACTTTAGATCTGTGGAGCCCATCTGTGGAGCATCGGAGCGGACGCCCTTTTCTGGTTATTATCCCTTTTTGAATATGTCCTTTTTCAATTTGCATTCGGCCTCCGCCAACGAACGGCCGTGGCCGAAATTGTGTCCTGTTTGTTGTTTCGATTAAAGGATTTCCGCCTTCTCGGCGCCACCGCAGAATCCCGTGGCTGTTGGCTCCTCCTGATTAAGCATAATTTATGTTGGCCAAGTGGCGACCATTAGCGCTGCGTCGCCATCGTCCTTGTCCGGGTGGTCCTGGTAGTCGCAGCATGTTGTTCCGTCCGTGATAAATGCGCCGCATTAGCGTCCAATGCCGGCCACTGCCGCCCAGCAATAAATCCCCCAAGCGTCCTCCACCCTCCATGTCGCCCACTCCCAACCGCATTCCGCGACTTGTCCGATGTTTGGTTAATTTCGTTGCGGGAATTTTAAATCATCTTTAAATTATGGTCATGCAAACTCAATAAACCAAATGGCGGATGGGCGGCAGAGCTCTGGGCAGGAGTACTCCTCGTCTAATTGAGTTGCAGATACACACCGATACACCGAGATACTCGTACAGGTGGAAGCGGACAGGGGACGGCGACAGGCGAGGCGAGGCAGGCAGGACGTGTGTGGCACACACATTTGCCACAATTTGGCAAACAAATCACGTAGCAACTGGCGGGGCTCATTCCGATTCCATTCCAGTTCCTGGGCCAGGCCCCAAGGCCATTACACTGGTCGGTCGCCATCGTATTGCATTCCCTGATTTCGCTGGGGGGTCATCTTGCTGTTTTCTTTTTTTTTTCCCCCCTCATCTGTGCAAATACGTGGAGAAAGTGGAGCACCGAGTACTGTGGCCTTACCACAAAATCGAACACACACGACAGTTAATTGATTCGCCGGCCATTCCTTTTGGCGATCCTTTCGGCCAGAGTCATTAATTTAAATCGAAAGAGCACTGATTTCTAGGTTCTATAGACTTTTCTTCAAATTATCCAAAGGATACTTATTTCTGAGTGAAAACAGTACCTTGTAGGACCTATAACCTATCTTTAAACTTAGGCATCAAATACCAACTGTTTCAATTACCGGGGGGGGTCTGTGTAATCCCAGCTTCCAGAGCCACCCAGAGGCCATACGACGCCATTTATGTCATTCCTGTGTCATCAGGAGCAGGAGCCGGC